CGTCCTCTGCGGGGCCCCGCACCGCGTCTGCTCCGAGCATCCCGCCTGCCCGTGCACTTGCCGGCTGCCCGGCCTTCCCACGCCTCGCCCTCCCCTCGCCCCTCTGCGCGCGCTCACCGGCCCCCTTCCCTGCAGGCTGCTTCGGTGGAGGCCGGTGGTGGTTATCGAACTCTGGTTCCTTGGGTCTAAACCCACCGCCCCCCACCCCCAAAGTGAGTCTGGACTCATGGACTCAGGCAGTGAGGAAGACTTAACAGGGCCAAACGCCACCGTAACTTGTTTGTTCAGGTTTGGTCTTGAATTTCCAATTAACCCTGAACTACCATGAAAGTCCCCAGGTAGATCAGGACAGTGAGGGACCGCAAGAATCGCCAGTGGCATCGCCAGTCGTTCCTGGGACCTTTCAACCCCTTTTTCTACTAAACGTCGTCGTTATTGTGACGTTAGCCACAAGGGGCAGAGGCGGTTGGACTGTTCTAGCTGTCTCTTGCAAAGTTTTTCTTTCTTGAGATGTTTCTATACTTAAAAAAGAAAAACAAACCCCCTTTTTACTATTAATTGGGCTGATAGACTCAAATGAAAGGAAAATGAAGAATGTTGGAAATCGATGCATTTAGGCCTGTTGCTGCAGGCGTGGGTATCTCGGGAAGGAAGTGGGCCCTGGCGTGTGGCGTCAAGTTAGACTGGTGGTGGGGGTACAGTAGCCTGGTAAACGTCCCAGCTAGAGGGGGAACATGCTTGTTTGCAAAGTGGTGAAACCTGTCGGCTTGGTGGGGTTAGGGTGCATGAAATGAGGTGTGTACCCGGGCTGTCACCCCGTAGCTGACAGCTTAAAAGCCACAGAAAATGGATCTCATTAATGTTGCTTAATTTCTCTAGAGTTATAGATACCCCATGCCCTGCTCCTGGTACACACCAGTGTGTCTTCCACGTTCAAAGAAGTTGGGATAGAACAGGTGATTCGGGTTCTAGTTGAACTTATGCTCAAACATTGTAGGGGAAATAAGCAAGAGGCCCGAGAGACACAGTCTGTTGGTTAGTCTTTGGCCGCTCTGTCTGACCCATGGGCCTGCCCTCTCTCCAGAGCATATGTTGACAGCAGTCTCCAAGCAAGTAGTTGGAAGCTGATCACAAATGGACGCCCATTCTCCGACTACGTTGACAGTTTGGGCATGCATTGCCCGGAGTCCTTTCTGTGGGGTCACTAGGTCCCTGTGGCTAGGTTACCTTTTTCAACCCCAAGTTACCTGGTGCAGCTAGTTTGGCTATTTCTGTTGTTAGAGATTTTTGTTATAGGGTGCTTGCCCTCACTAGGGAGACAGAGAGACAGAGAAATCACCCTCCAGGGTGGATGGCCGCATCGCAATCCCTTCTCTTGGGATTTTGGGACACGTGCACCTGCACACGGTGTGAGCTTCAAGCTGCCGGATCCTGGACTGACATCGTGCTGGGCTACATGGGAATCCAGTGCCTTAACTCCAAGAGCCTAAAACTTTTAAAGTGTGTGTGCTCTGTGACAGTGAGGTCTTTATTTTATTTTTTAAAGAGGTTTTTGCTATAGGGCATGTGTGCTCGCCAGACAGAGAGAGAGAGACAGAGAGATAGAGAGCGAGAAATCACCCCCCCAGGGGGGATGGCCACGCTGCAATCCCTTCTCTATTCTCTTGGGATCTTGGGCACGCACGCACACATGCCCGGCATGAGTTTAAGCCACCAGGTCTGGGACGCAAACTGCGGTCGACTACGTGGGAGTCCAGCAACATAGCCATTACACTAACTGCTGGTCCCAGACAGTGAGGTCTTTTGTAAACTAATATTAAGGTTAGAAAATGTCAAAATGAAAATGTCAGTGAGGCTTAAGATACTGATAATATGGTGTAACTTATAACGTCAATGTAGTAGTTAAAATACAAATGAAGAAATTCCTATCTATAATGATGTATCTTATAGTACAGCTTACAATTTGCTAAAAATTGTGTTTCATTAATTTTTTTTTTTTTGGAGAGATTTTCGCTATAGGGCGCATGCACTCGCCAGACAGACAGAGAGAGACATAGAGACAGAAAGTGAGAAATCACCCCCCAGGGGGGATGGTCACACCGCAATCCCTTCTCCTCCATTCTCCTCTCGGGATCTTGGGCACGCACGCACATGCGCCTGGCGTGAGTTTTTAGCCACCGGGTCCAGGATGTGAACCGCGGTCGACTACGTGGGAGTCCAGCGACATAGCCATTACGCTAACTGCTGGTTCCCAATGTTTCATTAATTTTTCAAACAGCATGGCAAGTTAGTTGTTACCCTCCTCTTCGTTGTAAGGATGAAAATGAACAACACTGTGATGACCGGTAGATGGTTTGCCTGAAGTCAGATACCCAGGATATGGCAAAGCCAGAACTAAGCCTCATTCTGCCTATTCCATGTCCTGGACTTTTTCCTTTTCGCTGTAAATTTTTTTTAATTTAATTTATTCATACATTTATTTTAATTTGACCAGAGACAGAGAGTGAGAGTGTGCATGAGACAGACAGAATGAAAGTGAGAAAGCAAGCTACCAGGTCTGGGACTTGAACCGTGGTAAGCCATGTGGGAGTATCCAGCACCTTAACCACCATGCCACCTGCTGGTCCTCTCACTGTAAAACATTTAAGTATTCTAAAATAATTGTTACTTTGGGTTGGTATGGAGCTTTTAGTCTTTAATTTTAAAATAGTTTTGAATGGCAAAAACTTTAAAATATTTAAATAGACTCCTAAAAAGCTTATGATTAATTTACCTTAGTATTTTAGTTTAGTTATTTTTTTTTAATGAGTCCTTTAACTTTCTTTGTCCTTTACCATCCCATTTCAATGAAACTATCTCTAGGGCCAAGCAGTTCTTGCCTTTAGATTGATATTAACATCATTTATGACGCTTAACTAGTTTGTTTATGGATTCGGGACCTTCCTGTACTTTAACCAGTGGGAAAATGTCATATGCTTGTTATCTGTTTTAACAAGGCATCTGATAAGAGTCTAAGGACAGCATAAGCCAGAGCGTTGCTTGCTGGACCGACGCCAGGCCAGGAGGATGTGTGGCATTCCTTGTCCTGAGTATGATTTTGATCAGTGATTGGAAGTAACAGAGATCAGCAAACTTCTACCAACATAGCAGTTACTGATAGAATGGCGGTTCCTGTGTCCGCAGTAGTTCTGTGCTCTTCAGGTGTATTAATTCGTAACCAGCACTCTTAAGAGAGTACTGTTTTTTCAGTGCATGTTATAAAAGCCAGAGATGTGAAGTGACTTCTTCATGGCCCCTGTTACTGTAGTCCAGAGCACTCCCTCCTGACAGAGAACAACGTTAGAACTCACAACGCGCTTCTAAAGTAAAAGAAACGTGCATTTATACGTTACATGGTGACTCCTGATGACTTATAAATACACAAACAAAATTACTTAAAAGTGGGGAAGGAAGGTGAGCGTTCTCTAAAGGTAGGGGACTCCGTGTGGTGGAGACTGGAATGAGAGTGCACAGGTGCACGTCGGATGCTCGGTGCAGGCAGCCTGCACATCCCATCGGAGCCTTAAAATAACTGAGCAGTTAACTTAAGAGAAACAGTCGCTGTGTCCATTGAGCTAAAACAGCTAGTTATTTGAACCAAGACAGAACTGACAGGTTACCCTGGCATGTTTGTTTGGAAAAGGGATGATACGCAGAACGTATAATAAAGCAATCAATTTCATAGGCATAGTTCTGATAACTTTCCCGAAGTCCACTTCAGTAAGGCAATAATTCTTACGGCAGGTGCTATCAGGATTGCTTAATATAGGTTGAAGACACTGATAATCCGGTTTAATTTTTACGTAATGAGAAAACAGGCATTTCCTGTGTTGTGATAGTTCTCCACAACTAAACTTTTTATAGATAGTAAGTGATGGGATGTTGGAGGTTACTTCTCCACCGGAGTTTAAAACGCAGCTCTTCTGTGTTTGCCATTTAACTCAGAGGTTCATCATTCATCAAATATTCAAGTGCCTATTGGGTGCTAGTGGAAATCAAGACCTCTGGGAATCAAATAAATGCATAAACAAAATTATAATAATGACCTATATCAAACGGCGCCCAGGTCACGTGTCCTGTCCCTACCTAGCTTCACACTCCAGTGGAAGAAACAATCGATTAAACAGAGTTTTTGTTTGTTTTGTTTTTAGAGAGATTTTTGTTTTAGGGCGTGTGTATTCGCCAGAGAGACAAACAGAAAGTGAGAAATCACCCCCCACGGGGACAGCTATGCCACAATCCCCTCTCCTCCATTCTCCCCTTGGGATTTTGGGCACACATGCACAGGTGCCTGGCGTAAGTTTTAAGCCTCCGGGTGCAGAACCCAAACCACGGTTAGCTACATGGGAGTCCGGCAGTGTAACCACTTTGCCATCTGCTGGTCCCTAAACAATTAGACAGTTCTAACAGACTGTATACATGCTTGAATGGGGAAAACTGAGAAGTTCCATTGAGACATGGAGCCATGCCCTGAATGTGGGGCCAGGGAAGACCTAGCACAGGACATATGGCACCTAATGTGCGCCCTGAAGGGTGACTAGCACTAGACCCCCGAGGCAGGGTTCAGTTCACCAAACTTGTGAGCACGTCTTTTTTCAGGGGAAGGAAATGTTCTATTTACTGGGTAAGATGTAATAAAGATAAGTAGTTCTCGTCTTAAACAGAGAAAGAGTTCATTTGATTTTTGAGAAGTCTTCAGAAGTTTACAGAAAATGTACATTATGACAAAGGTATGTACGGACTTCAAAATTTTTTATACCAAAATAAGTACATACTTGAATTCCATTTTTCCACAAACGTTTTGAAGTCCCCTATTATTTATTTGAAATGAACACCTGATGCAACTAAATCTGGAAAGGTTATTGTGTTTTCTTAATCCATGTCCAATTTCTGCTTTTTAAAGGACCTGTAATAACACGTGTGGTCAGAGTGACAGTTAATGAATTTTTCAAATGAATTTACTGAGGGCCTACCGTGTGTCAGACCCTGTCCTAGGCACATGAGGTTATATCCGAGAACAGAGGAAAGAGCTCTGCCTTCCTGGAGCTTAGATCGTTGGACTGCAGCATTGGGCGTGTGGAGGATAAGTTAGAATTAGCCATGGGAAGAAAGCGTGGCGTATTCACGGGAGCAGCACGGGCAGAGGTGCAGAGTGGGCTACAGTGTGAAAACTGAAGCTTGTCTAGGATGGGAACGTAACTAGAAGGCCACCACCTCTTCTAAGAGGTGACCTAAGAGAGAGTGAGGACCGCCCCACCCCCCACCCCGGGGATGGTCTCCAGCAAGAAAATGCACTCTATTGTGAAACCTTAAAAAAAAAAAAAAAAAAAAAGCTAATAATAGAATGTAATCACCAGTTATGAGTCAGTTAAGGAAAAATTATCTAAAAATCAGTTACTGGGCCAGCAGGTGAGTTTTTTTTTTTTTTTTTTGGAGAGATTTTCACTGTAGGGCGCGTGCGCTCACCAGACAGACAGAGAGAGACATAGAGACAGAAAGCGAGAAATCACCCCCCAGGGGGGATGGTCACGCCGCAATCCCTTCTCCTCCATTCTCCTCTCGGGATCTTGGGCACGCACGCACACGCGCCCGGCGTGAGTTTTAAGCCACCGGGTCCGGGACACAAACCGCGGTCGACTATGTGGGAGTCCAGCGACATAGCCATTACGCTAACTGCTGGTTCCCGAGCAGGTGAGATGTTGATTAAAGTGCTGGACTGTTACATGGCCGACCGTGATTCGACTCCTAAACCTGGTAGCTTGCTTTCTCTCTTTCTGCTCAAATTGAATAATAATAATTAATAAATAAAATGAAATAATTCTTTTAAAAAATCAGTTACTTTTATTTTAAAGGAGTTGAGGTGTGTGTAGCCTATTTTTTTCTGACTATAACTAGATAGTAGGACCAGTTTTTTTAAGGGCTTTTCTAGGTTATGATGATAATTCCAGGCCATCTTTAAATAAAAGAATGCACGTTTTCCAGCTGGGAGGTTATCTCACCCATCCAACAGTAGTGCTTATTAGGCAACAAGTTAGAGAAAGGGGGTATGCATACTCTGGCTTATTTTACAAGGTATTTCGGACTGATCTGGCTTTGTTCGAAACTGAATCATTTAGTATTCAGGGGATGATTGTAGGCTCCATGAGAACAACAGTGGTTCTGGGATAACTGGTAAACCATAACCCATAAGCCAAGTTGGTAACATTTAGTAGTAACTTCAAGGTTTGCACCTGGTGTTACAAAAGAAGTGCTCAAGTGTGGTATGGGAGAGACCAAGAGTGGTCTGAGAGTTTAGCCATTTCAGTATGTTAGTAATATGGCAGGACTCCTCAATAACTCATGCAGTAGTGGAGGGCTTCTTGTTTGGGGATCGTGTCAAAACTGAGAGGTGCCTCTTTTCTCTGCAATGGATTACTTGGTGCTGGGGGCTGTATTTTATGGAGGTACATTGAAATGCTGAGGCATGAAACAGAAGGGCACCTTGGTTGCTGAAAACACTTCCACGTGGAAGGAGGTGGAGAGTAGAGGAGACTTGGGGGTCCAGGAAATGGTCTTCGGCTATTTGAAGGGCTGTTCTTGGGACAAAGGAGTAAGCAGACTTGTTTTGCTCCAGAGAGCATGTCAAGGGCAGAGGGTAGAATTCCATGAGACTTATTTCATTTCTCAAAAAGGAAGTCTATGTTTGTTTTCATACAAGAAGCATTTTTATAAGAGGAGTGATTTATCTTTGAAAGTGTTTAAACATTGGCCCAGTGACCACGCGCCAGTGACATATTGCAGAAAGCACATCAGTACTAGCATCAAGGTTGAAATAAAAAACTTTTCAAATTTATTCTTATTGTTAAGAACCCCTGGATCCCTGACCTAGAAGAAATTCCATTGGACTAAGTAAGATAGTGGTTACTGGCGCACTTCATTCTTAAGGATTTTTAAGGAATAGTTAAGAACGGTTTGGATTCAGCATATCAGGTATATAAACATAACTTATAAAATGCTTGCATTATTTGTTCTTTTGAGGAGGTTAAATATGTTCATTGGTCCTTTTTTATTTTTTGAGAGATTTTTGCCATAAGGTGTGTGCACTCGCCAGAGGCAGAAAGAGAGAAATCAATTCCGGGGGGATGGCCACACCACAGTCCCTTCACTTTCCATCCTCCTCTCGGGATTTTGGACATGCATGCACACGAACCCAAAGTGAGTTTGAAGCCACCAGGTCCGGGACTAGAACCATAGTCTCACCTGAGATTCCAACTTTTTAACCACCATGCCACCTGCTGGCCCCCAGTAGTTCTTTTTATTGTGGTTTTCTCAGCACAGATTTAAAAACTAACAAATTGCAGATTTACTTCTGTCTGAGTAAGGCAAAATTTAAATTAAGGAAAAAGTTGATTGTGTTTTGAATTTTTACAATAAAGCAGATAGTATTGAAATGCCTTCTAAATTAAAATGTGAATGGTTTTTGGCTTGTCTGTCATTTTAGATTCTTAATTATTCACTCAGCAAGTGTCTAGTGAGTGTTTATCATCCCAGAGCTGTGTAACTTCTGGGAATACAACAGTGGAAGAAATCTTTGTCTTTTTGGAGCCCACAAAATAAATAAATTACACAGTATATTAAGTGATAGGTGCTAAACAAAAATAAAGTGGAGGTTAAAGGCAATTGGGTAAAGGTCTCAAGGCTATAGGGACTTGGTTTTTTTTTTTTTATTTGTTTGTTTGTTTTCTGAGATGGGAAACCATTAGGCTGTTCAGTACAGTTGCTGACAACATGGTCTGTGGTGTGTTTGTTTTTATAAATTATTTTACTTAGCTTTATTTATTTATTTAATTTGACCAGCAGTGTCAAATTAGTCAGTGAGAAAGCGAGAGAGAGGAAAGTGAGAAGCCAAGCCACCAGGTCTGGGACTCAAACTGTGGTCCGCCATGTGGGATTCAGTGCCCCTAACTCCCATGCCACCTGCCGGCCCCCTGTGTTATGTCTTAGGAAGATCACTATAGCTACTCTGTTAAGTCAAGAGGGCACCAGGTAAAGAGGGAGGCCAGTTAGCAGGTTCTTGTAGGCTCTTGTAGACTAGAGCCTGGAATCCCTTGGAAGGAACACAGATGGTAAGAAGTGGTTGGGTTCTTTGTTGAAGGTTGGATATTTAAGGTCAAGCCAACGTGCCTAACTGATAGATTGGGTGTCGGGGGTGTGAGTGAGATCATAGGTGTTTCTATGGTTCTGGCCTACGCAGCTGGAAGATCGGAACTGAGAGCAGGAAGGGTAGGGGTGAAATGGTGAGGAAGTTTGTGAACGTTGAAGAGTTGAGTTTAGGTAGTTGACTGTGCTGTCACACATCCAAGCTGGGAGGCTCAGTACAGCAGTAGTCCGGAGTTCAGGGCCCAAGTCCAGGCTTATGGTAGAGGTCTGGGAGTCACTGGTGTTGACATAGAAAAGGAGCACGAGCTTCACGTGGGGCATTCTGGAGGTACGTAGTGGGTAGGTGGGGTGGTGCTGGGGCCTCATGGTCATTTTTTGGGTTCTTTCCTTTTCTTAGTGAAATAGGAAGCTAGATTGTCTACTGAGAAGGAGGGTGGGAGAGGAGGTGCTGGGAATTTAAGGAGAGGACTCGGTTTGTGTGCGTTTCTCTGATTAAGTTCCGCTAGCCCACCACTGCCCTAGAGTCAGTAGACAGTGAGGTTTAACCAGGACTGGGAGGTTCTCAGGCGACCATGGTAAAGGGAGGGAGGAAGAGTGATTCTGTGACAATTGACTTATAATTTAAGCTGGCCAAGGAGGGAAGGAAGGACAAGAAGGGAACGAAGACTGTGACAGTGCTGTGGGTCAGTGCTTTGTAGGTTCTAGGGGAATGGAAGAATTTGTGGACTCAGTACCACACTGAGTCAGGAAACAGGAGGTGCTCGGAATGGCAGTTATGGAGAAGTTGTGGCTAATTGGTGATAACAAGATCTGAGGTATGACCGACTGTGGAGTTAGAGGCCAAAGTAGGGTGGGGAACAGTCCCTGGTGAAGCATTCCAAGAAAAGAGAGGTATTAATGTGATTATTTCAACAAATATAGAGTACTTTCCCCGTGTCATTATTTGGAACCTATAGAGAAGTAGGATGGGGTGGGGGCAGAGGGAGGGAGTTGAAGCAGTCTGTGTGATGTTTGGCTACATTTTCCTGTACCTTAATGTGCTAACGCCAATATCCTAACACAGTGGGATACGTCTGCATCGTGGCTGTTCTCATAGCAGGTCTTTCTTCCTAATGCAGTAGCTACTGGTATTTCAGAAATGAACGTGTTCCCGGATGATCCAGAATTTGCTGACATTATATTGAAAGCCGAGCAGGCAATAGAATGTGGAGTTTTCCCAGAAAGAATTTCTCAAGGTTCAAGTGGAAGTTACTTTGTGAAGGACCCTAAGAGGGTGAGAATTTCATAGACCTTCTGTATATAATAGAAATACTGGAAAACACTAATTTAAATGTGAAGTTATTGTGAGTTTCAAAAGATACTTTTTCTATTGAATCTTTACCCTGTTTCTAAAAGTAAAGTTCAGTTTTGTTTTGTTTTACTAAAGGTTTCTACTGTTTAGAAATAGAGCTAATCATTTTAAGATGGTAGTTTACTGTTCTTTTATTTTATAGTTTCAAGCATTTACTGAATACTCACAGCTGTAGATTTATCGAGCATTTATTAATAAGTTCTTACCTTGTAACTCACCTATAACCCTATTAACCAAGCAGTGTGGAAGCTTAAATTTTCAAAACTCATTTTTTTTGAGAGAGAGATACTTATTTGCCATAGGGCATGTGTGCTCATCGGAGACACAGAGAGAGACAGAGAAACAGAAAGGGAGGAATCACCACCACCCCCTCACCCCCCGTGCGGGAGTGGCTACACCGCAATCCCTTCTCCTCCCATCTCCTCCTGTCATTTTGGCCACACATTCACACAGGCCTGGTGAGAGCTTTAAGCTGCTGGGTCCAGGATTCAAACCACAGTCAACTCATGGGAATCCAGTACGTAACCATTACAACATCTGCTGGTCCCTCAAAACTGATTTAATGTCATTTCCAAAGCGCTTGATTTCTTTTCAAAGGTTGTTCATTTTTTTTCTGGTACGATATCAGGGTAAGGAGTCAAGGCAATCTGATGTTTGAAGGCACTGGAATGTGACAAAGTGAAATGAATACAAGTATGAATCAGAAAGGAGAAGACTGCGTCCTACTTAGTTTAGAAATTTTCAAAAACACGTATCTTTTCTGAAAGCTCTCTAACTGACACATAACTAGTAGTTCTTTTTCCAGGAGATAAATATTTATAATTGTACTCTTTTTCTGGCAAAAATTGAAGTTATATTTTAACAGTTATTTTAGAAATAGATTTTTAATTTAAGAATATTTGTAGGGAACGTCAGTCTCCATCTTTGTTTCAATATTGAGTTCTTAATCTGTTCTCGTTTGACTTTTTACCATGACTCAGACTATATTGCAAAGCCGTTACGTGCTCAAAATTATAACAAGATTTTATTTATCTCAGGCTAATTCAGCCTCTAAATTTAATATGAATATACTGTATCAGACCAGTGCTAAGGATTATACAGGCTTTTTTTAGACATCCATGAACAAATTTTTTTTATAGGCTAGAGGTTATTTAAAATTGATTCATGATGAAAATGACTGAAAAAGAAACAGGGTGGGAGAAACAGCATAAATATTCACTGTATCTTATTACTTTTGTATTGTAAAGAACTGTTTTTTCTATAATTGGATTTATTATTCGTTCATTTAACAAATGCTTGAATGCTTCCTATGTATCAAGTCCTGTTCTGACTACTAGAGTCAACCCTACCAAAAAGGCCCCCTATAGCAAATTAAAATAAGTAATATAATAGATAAAATTAAATAAATAATTATTTTTTTAAAAAAGGAGGGTCTAGCAGATGGTGTGGTGGTTAGGGTGCTGGACTCTCACATGGCCGACCGTGGTTCAAGTCCCAGACCCGGTGGCTTACTCTCTCACTTTCTCTTTCTCTCCCTTTTGTCGTCTCTCTCTGGTAAGCCACATGTGTCCTATAGCAAATTAAAAGGAATAATAATAAATAAATTTAAATAAATATTTTTTAAAAAGTCCCTCACTTTTTAGAATGCACTATTATAGTGAGGAAAGTGGATCAAAACGAACATACTATTTGAATATTTAACAGATACTGAACAATAACACTGATCTTAGAGTAGTGGTTTTCAAACATTTAAAAATTAATGCAGGCCTGGGCCAGTAGGAGGTGGTGGCTAAGGCACTGAACTTCCACATGGCCTGCCGCTGTTCACGTCCCATACCCGGTGGCTTGACAATCACAGTGGGCACGTGTCTTCATGAGCCCAAAATCTCCAGAGGAGAATGGAGGAGAAGAGATTGCCATGTGGTCATCACCCTGGGGTGGTGATTTCTCATCTTCCACTACTCTCTCTGTCTCTCTGCAGTGACCACAAGCCTCCTGTGGCAAAAATCTAAAACTTACAACCAAAATTTAAAAAAAAATAAATTACGACAAACTAATGGAGGCCCAGCCATCGTGGTGGCTCAAGCAGGAGGCTGTTGTCTGGAGGGCTGGAGGAAGGGAAGGATCTCAGAGTGAGGGCCTTATCGTGGGTAACGGCGTCTGTCTGTCTGTCTGTCTGTCTCTCATGAGGGAAATAACTAGGTAAAGTTAAAAAAAAGAGAATCAGTGTGATCATTTCTTAGGAGGCTAGAAATATGAAACGAACGAACTCAGAGTTAATCTGGCTAAATGGCACGAGGTCTCGGAGCCTTGCCCTCACTTTCCTAGGGCCTGTCAGACACAGTATGAAGACTGGTCAAAGGATTATTGACCCTTAGACTGCTGAATGAAAACAAATACCAAAAGGTGGTTGGAACTAAGCTTTAATAGTAGAGGGTGAGTCCTAACTCTGTAGTGAGAGGCAGTAGAAAATGATCAGAATGTATTTCATGGGTTATTATCTAGATATATTAAAAGACTATTAAGATGTCTACTTTTTTTTGTTTCAGAGAGATTTTTGCCCTACGGTGTGTGTACTCGCCAGAGACAGAGAGAGAGAAAGCAAGAATCACCCCCCAGGGGCGATGGCCACACCACAATCCCTTCTCCTCCATTCTCCTCTCGGGATCTTGGGCACACGCGCCCAGAGTGAGCTTTTAAGCCACCAGGTCCAGGACTTGAACCACGGTCGACTCCATGGGAGTCCAGCGACGTAACCATTACGCATCTGCTGGTCCCAAGACTTCTACTTTTGTTTCCTATAGAAAATTATCGGCGTGTTTAAGCCCAAATCAGAAGAGCCTTATGGTCAGCTGAATCCAAAGTGGACCAAATACGTGCACAAGGTCTGTTGCCCCTGCTGCTTCGGCCGTGGCTGCCTGATCCCCAATCAGGGCTACCTTTCAGAGGCTGGCGCCTCCCTTGTGGATGAGAAGCTTCATCTGGGCATTGTACCTAAAACAAAGGTAAGGAGGAGTTTGTTTTGATCACATGCTTCTAGTTTACAGCCTGCTTACCTGTGAATACTTCCATAATAATTCCTAAGAATAGAGCCTAGGGACCAGCAGTTGGCATAATGACTGTGTCGCTGGACTCCCATGTAGTCAACCGCAGTTCAAATCCCGGACCTGGTGGCTTAAACTCATGCCGTGCGCATGTGCGTGCGTGCCTGCATGCCCAAGATCCCGAGAAGAGAATGGAGGAGAAGGGATTGTAGCCTGGGGTGATTTCGCACTTTCTCTCTCTCTCTCTCTGTCTTTTTGGTGAGTGCACGTGCCCTATAGCAAAAACCTCTCCCCCTAAAAAAAGAACAGAGCCTAAAGCTGTACCCCATTTCTTGCTTACTTGTAATCCAAGTACCATGAGTGACAAGGAGGAGCCACAGAGTACCCCAGAGACTGGTTGTCGTGAGGTCAGACTTCCTTGGTCAGTAACAAAGAAGAGAAAGAGCTATAATATTGATAGCATTTATGAAGCAGAAAAAGGTCGGTGGTCATACAAATCCCGCTTGAAGATAGAGTTAACTAGTATACTCAGAAGTCTGCCCTTGTTTTCTTCATGGCCTTATCAAATTTTCACTGAAGTCTTCTTCGAAATATACATTCTTTTTTATTTTTTTAAGAATTATTTATTTAATGATATTTTTTACTATTGTCATTTTTAAATTTTGCTATAGGACATGTATGCTTATGAGAGAGAGAGAGAGAAAATGAGAAAGCAAGCTGCCAGGTCCAGGACTCAAACATAGTTGACCATGTAAGACTCCAGCACCTTAACCACCTCGCCACCTGCTGGTCCCTTGAAATATACATTCTTAATTCTATACTGCTCTTTATTTCTTTTTTTAAAAAAGAATGATTTATTTATTATCATTATTTTTCCATTTTGACCAGAGAGAGACAGAGATAGATCAGCCCACCAGATCCAGGAGTCAGGACGTTGTTGGCCGTGTGGGAGTCCAGCCTTTAACCACCATACCCCGCTGGCCCTGATAATGCCCTTTACTTCTTCCAGTAGCAAATGCGAGGCTACTTTTTCTACCTCGCTCGGAAAGAAATCGATGCCATTTTAACAGGGCTTTGCAAATGCCCTAGCCTTTCCGTTTCAGGTTCTCTGGGTAATTTAGGATAGAGTTAAACCTGGGTAGTTTCCAGACTGGAGGATGTGACTAGATTCGAAGGCACGAATTCTAATCTTCTTCCTTGACTGTGTGTTTCTAGGTGGTTTGGCTTGTCAGCGAGACGTTTAACTACAGTGCAATTGACCGTGCAAAATCAAGAGGCAAAAAGTACGCTTTAGAAAAAGTGCCAAAAGTCGGCAGGAAGTTTCACCGGATAGGCCTCCCTCCCAAGGTGAGTTCCCCAATGAGCTTTCCTGGGGTGGGGGGGGCAGTGGACTTGGCACACACACATCCTAGGCTCCTGGCTGGCACTGTGCTGTGAGCTCTGGGCATATTACGAGGGAAGCAAGAGAAGAGGTTTTCGTCTTCGAGGAGCTTGTAGGAGACAAGCACTTGCAATGACAATGACGATAAAGCTATTGATACGAAAGGGAGTTCAGGGAGCAGGAGAGGGTAACAGAGGGATGCCTTAGTGAATCTGGAAAGAAGGGCGTGTGTCCAGCAAGAGGCTGCGTCCAGGACTGGGTAAGGTAATGACTGGAAGCGGAGGTCTAGAATGAGGCCTGGCTCCCTGTCCCCGCTCCCCCAGCTAGTTGAGACCCCGGGCAAGGCCCTCATTCTCTCCAAGCCCTCGATTTCGTACCATCGGGATGACAAAAACTACCTCTTAGGCTGTCGGGAGAACAAATTAAATTCATGTCAAATATGAGGTGCACAGCAAAGGTTGAATAAATGGTAGTTGCTGTATCTTCTACCTACATATCAGATTTGGGCTTTTTTTTCCTTCTCACTTTTAAATAAACCTGAGGGATGATTAGCAACCAGCTAGGCAGGGATGGAGAGAACTCATAGGAAAGGCATTCTAGTAAAGGCCGTACGGCTATTTTAAAAATATACCCGGCCTATGATTTTGTTGTTTTATTGTTGCTGTGCATTTATCTAGATAAATAATTTGAGAGGAAATTTGTGGTTAACCTAACTTTTTAAAAAAATGGAACTGTAAGTAGATAGTTTGACAGTTTTTTCAAGACCAGGTGCTCCTTGCATATGCTGAAATATGTGTCTAAAAGCAGATATTCCATATTTTACCTAATTATGAGTAGTTTAAAGCATTAAAATTTCATGCCACTTTTGGCCAGAACCTCATCTTCCAGTAACTGCACAAAATGAAAAACACAAAGGGAAAAGGGAGAGAGGAGAGGCACCTGGTACACGTTCTCTGGGCCTTGTAGAAGACACGGAGTTGTTCCTTTGGTAACACCCGTGCGAATCTACAAGAAAGGTGCTAGAGTAGACATCAAGGGAATGGGTATTGTTCAAAAAGAAAGGCCCACTGATGTGACCATGGCAACACCAGAAGAGTCTACAGTGTTACCCAGCATGCTGTGGGCATTGTTGTGAACAAGCAAGTTAAGGGCAAGATTCTTGCCAAGAGAATGAATGTGCGTATTGAGCATGTTAACCGTTCTAAGAGCAGAGACAGCTTCCTAAAACGTGTGAAGGAAAATGACCAGAAGAAGAAGGAAGCCAAAGAGAAAGGGACCTGGGTCCAGCTGAAGCACCAGCTGCTCCACCCAGAGAAGCCACAGTGTGAGAACCAATGGAAAGGAGCCTGAGCTTCTAGAACCTGTCCCTTAGGAATTCATGGCATGATGGCTGTTAAAAATATACTAAACTATGGTCTATTAAATAAATAAAATTTTATGCCAACAGGAAGTTAAAATGTCAGGATAAGAAGTAGATTTTCCTCATGATTTGTTTATTTACACTTATGAGACAGGCTGGATTCCCAGGCACCTGGACACCATGCGCTGCCTAAGGGTGTATTTCACCCTTAAATAAATTGTTCAATGTTAACTAATACTTCCAGTAATAATGGCTTTTAAAATGAACATATTTTTAAGGAAGGGAATCTTGTTTTTTTTGTTTGTTTTTGTTTTTGGAGAGGTTTTTGCTATAGGGCGCATGTGCTTGCCAGACAGACAGAGAGAGACAGAGACACAGAAAGCGAAAAATCACCCTCCATGGGAGATGGCCACGCCACAATCCCTTCTCCATTCTCCTTTTGGGATCTTGGGCACACACGGACACATGTCCGGCATGAGTTTAAGCCACTGAGTCAGGGACTTGAACCACAGTCGACTATATGGGAGTCCAGTGACATAGCCATTATGCCATCTGCTGGTCCCAAGGAAGGGAACCTTCTAGAATTACTGGAGAAGTTATGTTTAATTGATTAGCTCTTTTCAATTGATGACAAGCTCTTTGATCAGCATGGTCAAAGAAGCCATTCTATTTTTTAGTAAAGTTATTTTTTAAAAAAGAATTATTTTATTCAACTTTTAATTAATTAATTAATTAATTAATTAATTTCAGTTAGATCAGAGAAAGAGAGTAAGTTAGAAAGCAAGCTACCAGGTCTGGAACTTGAACCACAGTCGGCCATATGGGAGCGCAGTGCCCCGAACCACTGCGCCACCTGCCAGCCCCAGTAAAATTATTTTCTGTTGTACAACAATCCTAAAATGTTTCTTCAGTAAGACAACATTGTACTTATTAAATAACCACGATAGGTATAAAATTTACCTTCCATAATTAAATTTATTTTATTGAGTATTTTTAGGAAACAGCCTCCTCGATAAGAATGTCACCTTGACGACAGATGTTTATTCTCTCTTTTAATTATCTTAAAATAGCTGCTTTGCTTCTTGAAAGTTGGGGCCAAGCATTTTTCATTTGTGATCATTTAAAATTAGTGTATAAAAATAGTTTTCTTGATAAATGTGGCTTATCTAAATTAGTGTTAACTCTGTTTTTCTTATTGTGTTTATGTAACGTATTTTGTGACAGTGCTGCTGAGATATTAAAAAATTAATCCCTTTGTTGTACTTTCTCTTCTAACTGGAGTTCTTAAAATTATAGATTGGTTCCTTCCAGTTATTTGTTGAAGGTTACAAAGAAGCCGAATATTGGCTTAGGAAATTTGAAGCTGAGCCTTTGCCTGAGAATATTAGAAAACAACTTCAATCACAGTTTGAAAGATTAGTTGTTTTGGATTACATCATCAGAAATACAGGTATTGAAGTTTTTTCATTTGTTCACTCAAGTCTTGTTAACTTTTAAGCCATCTTGTATTCTTGTTATCGAAATCAAAGCAAGAAAACGTTGATGCAGAGTCTTGTGGCTAGTTCCTCTACCTCACTTAGAAAACAGAGACGTGGAGCCAGCAGATGACATAGCAGTTATGTCCCTGGACTCTCACGTGGATGACTGAGGTTGGAGTCCTGAACCCAGTGGATTGAAAATCACACCAGGCGTGTGTGTGTGCATGAATGCCAAGATCTCAGGAGAAGCATGAAGGAGAAGGGATTGCAGCATAACCATCCCCTGGCGGAATGATCTCTCACTTTCCCTCTCACTATCACTATCTCTGTCTCTCTGTCTCCCCCAGTGAGCACACGCACCCTAAGGCAAAAAAAAAAAAAAAGAGAAAACAGAGAGTAGTCCTGGGCAGAGTGAATCCTCTCCTCTGGGGCTCTGCCTTCTGGCGGATTCCTGCCCAGTGGTGGAGATCAGTCCCTATCCCCTTGGGATGAATTTCCTAGCAGCAGGACCAAGCAAAATATTAGAAATGTCATCCACATAAGACGAATAGTTAAAATTCGATAGAATAAATTATTTCACGTGTTTATTTTGACATTATGTAACCATTAATGCATTATATAAAAACATGAAGCTTTCATTTTTTTCCGAGCTGTAAAAGAACAGTGATGGAAGTAAGCCAGAGCAGTGGTCCTAAAACGTGGTTCCCTGGACAAGCAGGGTCAGCCCTACGTGGGAACTTACTCAGCATCTCCTCAACACCACCCCAGGCCCACGAGGGCCAGCAGTTTGTTTGTGTTTTAACAAATGCTCTCAATAATTCTGGTGCGTTCTACAATGTGAGAACCACTGACTCAAAAATGTTTACTCTTGTATATTAATTTCTGAAAATGTGTCATCTCAGTTTCTGGATTTACCTTCTTAATATGGTCCTAGGATAATGTGACAATTAGCATACAGTCCACAGGACTCCTGTACTGACATGAGGTCAGTCTTCTTAGAAACTTGGCTAGCAGTGCTAACCAGTGGCATAGTCGTTAAGGAGCTGGACTCCCATGTGGCTGACTGCGGTTCCAGTCCCAGGGCTGGAGGCTTGAAACTCTGGCCAGTCACGTGTGTGTGCATGCCGCAAATCCTGAGAGGAGAAGGGATTGTGGCATGGCCATCTCCCCAGAGTTGATTTCTTACTTTCTCTCTCTCCGTCTCTCTCTGTCTCTCCAGTGAACGCACATACTCTATAGCAAAAGTTTCTCCAAAAAAAAGACAGAAAGGAATTTGCCTAGCAGTAGGGGTAGGTTCTTTTTCTCCCTAAGGTACAGAGAACTTATCCTTGATTTTAGTAGCTTTGACTCAGTCATTGCATTGGGTTGTCGAAAAGTCATGATGCATTTTTGCATCGAAATATGTAGAAAAATCCTCCCTGACTTTTCCGACCATCCGGTACCTCCCTCCCAGGGTGTTTATGAGGGTCAAATGAATCACTACATATTAAGCACTTAAAACAATGTCTGGCTCAGAAAAAATGTCCATCGAGCGTTAGGTAACACAACCAGTTTTGTTAGTTTGCGTTAAATTGGAACTTACTGCAAATGAGCGGTGTGCCTGCCAGAGGAATACTCCCTGACTTTTCCGACCATCCGGTACCTCCCTCCCAGGGTGTTTATGAGGGTCAAATGAATCACTACATATTAAGCACTTAAAACAATGTCTGGCTCAGAAAAAATGTCCATCGAGCGTTAGGTAACACAACCAGTTTTGTTAGTTTGCGTTAAATTGGAACTTACTGCAAATGAGCGGTGTGCCTGCCAGAGGGAGAAGGCGTCCCCTCATAGGGTGTGGGCCTTTCTCCTCCATTTCTCACCCACCAGGAATTGGTGCATGTTGCACACATGCCGAGTGTGTTTTTCAAGCCCCTGAGGCTGAGAATCCAAAGCATGTGGAAGCCAGCTTCCTGCGTACCACGGTGCCCTAAATGGGAACCTTCTCCGTGGTAAACCTATGCTACAAGTAACCGATGTGTAGCAGAAATTAGAAGGTAGACAGACTTCCCCCTCGATATTAAGCTATCCGGCCCATAAAAGTGAAATGACCGATTTTTCTGTTTGCTTTAAAAGACAGGGGCAGTGATAATTGGCTAATCAGATACGAAAAGCAGAAGTGCGAGAAGGAGGCCGACCGTAAGGTAAGGACATTGCACACGAGTAAAGATGCACGCCGTTTCTGTTACAGGCGACCAGAAGTCCTCTTTTTCCTATGGCCTCTTTCCTTCACCTAGGTAGTTTTTGTTGATTTATTTTTAGATTTTATTTTATTATATTTTGCCATAGGGCACGTGCACTCATGGGAGAGAAATAAAGAGAGAGAGAAAGTGAGAAATCACTCCCAAGGGGGGATGGCCATACTGCAGTCCCTTCTCGTCCACTTTCCTCTCAGGATTTTGGGTACACACTGGTGCCCAGTGTGGTTTTCAGGCCTCCAGGTCCAGGACTCAAACCACAGATTTGGCACGTGGGATCCAGAGCCTTATCCACCGTGCCACCTGTTGACCCCTAGATCCTTTGTTTTTAATTCTCTTTCTCTGTTTTCTGGTTTTATTTTTTAAAAAAGCAGACCCGCAGTTGTTGGAGATGTGGTTGAGGGGGACGGGGATCAACTACAGAGGGATGCGAGACTCGTGGGGTGAAGCTTTCCCCTCGGTCAAGACTCATCACACTGTATGCTTTCATATCTGAAGCTGTAAACAGAAAAGGATCATAGAGATAAAAACAAATGGCAGTTATAGCAGACACAGGTTCGAAACACAGACATACACGAACATATTCATTATGGTTTCCGATTTTATGTTACTGGGATGTCTTAAGCAATTAGATTTTGCTGAGAACTTTATTTTTTTGCTGTTAGTATCTTATGCATTTTCATTGAGCTCAGGCGTTCGATATAACTGAAAGAGGTCAAGAGGTCTGACACGTATCACATGAACCTTCTCTGTAGTCTCCGTTTAAAAATCGCCTTTTTCGCTATGTGCTATTTTTTCTAAGCCATGCAGCCATTGCAGTTACCTGTATGTACATACTAGAAGCCATTCTTTAGTGAGGACCCTCTTGCTCCTGAGGTCTTCACTTCTGCTGCAGGGATACCGAAGTTAGGGATGGCCTATATTTTGTAGTCACGAGCACCTTTGGGTTCCCCCTACTGGACCTTGTTATACTGGTTACTGTCTTTGGGGGAATTCTATTTAGAAACATTTTACACTTGCCATAATTATGTCTGTGGACCCTAAGAAAGACTATATCTTAAAAAAGTAATTTTGTTAAGGTATCTTAAAAAAATAATATTTTGCAAATGTCATATATTTAAGCAATATAGCTAGCACTGAGTTACTGAGAACATCAAATTTAAAGATCTTACATTTTTTTCTTTAGAGATTGTTTTCTACAGGGTATGTGCACTTGCCAGGGAGACAGAAAGCAAGAAATCACCCCCCAGGGGGATGGCTATGCCACAGTCCCTTCTCCATTCTCCTCTCGGGATTTTTGGGCACACATGCACCCACTCCTGGCGTGAGTTTCAAACCACCGGGTCCAGGACTCAAACCACAGTCGACTTCATGGGAGTCCAGCAATGTAAGCATTATGCCATTTCCTCGTCCCAAAGTCTTAATATTTTTAAGCCCTCTTTTAGCAAAGCAAAAAAGAAAAGAAAAGAAAAGAAACCAATACTGAGTAAAGGAATAAAGGAATAATCTCAACTTTTTAAAATAGCGATTATGGACCCATCCTAGGTGGTGCCGAGCTGACTTGCTGGGTCCGAATCCCCAGGTTGGCCTGATTGTGCATGTGGGTGTGCGTGTGCACGTGCGTGCCCAAGATCCCGATGAGCTGGCGGGCTCAGGAAAAAGAATCTAGGTTTGGTGAGACCCTGTCAAGGTGCTTCTCTCACGCGTGCACACTCCCTATCATTAATAAAGACTATAAAATTCATACTTTTTGTTTTGTCCTTACTTTCATTTGCACATTTATTAGTGGTAAAAATAGGGACTTATCATAGACAAACAGTTTATTCTTCATTAAAAACTTGAAGGCAGAAAAGAAAATGAATACCACAAAAGATTGATCGGATAACGGGTGCGGTGAGAAGGCCCTGGCCCCTGCTCCCCCACAAGGCAGGGTTCATGCTCTTTGGCTCAGGCCCCAAAAGAGCCCGGCTCGTACTGGTTTTTAAGACAGTCTCTTCTTGGGTGAATTTGTATTCTTTCTGGCAACCTATTTTTAGTTTTTATAGATTGTTCAACAGAAAACGTTCTTACATCTCTACAGTTATTATAAATATTTTATACTTTAGAAATATTTATGTAGGTTCTTTTATCAACAGATCATTTTTCTTCTCTTTAGGAATCAAAATGGATTGATGATAAAGAGTTGCTTATTAAAATAGCCGCAATTGATAACGGTCTAGCATTTCCTTTTAAACATCCTGATGAATGGAGAGCATGTGAGTGTTTAGAACTTTCTATAGATTCTGTAATTCCTTCTCTTCCCGAAAGGGAAAGGAACAAAAGTTATGGATATCAAAATGGCGGAGGAAAAGCCAGATAAAGCGTGAGCATTCGTCAGGGTTCGGATCCGGGCACTAGGGCTGCAGAGATGTGTACCACGTGGGTCTCGGAGTACATTGGTTTATTTTTGGGTGAATGATTCTGATTTTTAGCTTTCTATTTGCTTTGAAAAATGAGTTTGGTAGCTCTCCTATTTTTCAAAATATAACATGGAAATAATCTTTTAAAATGTTTTGTAGAACTATGAACTATGTCTTAATGTTCTGCCCTGTATTCCCTTGGACAGTTTAGGCTTACCCAACGGCACCCCCCCACCCCCCGTTCAGTAGTAACTTGTTAATTACCTTCCCAGTGTCTTGTATGGTCTGTGACCAGATTTTACACAGCTTTTTAAACCTACTTTAGACATTTTTATTTTGAATTCATCTGTGATATCATGAGTTTGGAATGTATAGGTGTAATTTTAAAATCCCCTCTGTCCATTTGAAGTATTTAGGAGAAAAAAATGAAATAATATCTGGAATTTGCCTTAAAATATTAGGGGTGGGTACCAAGGAAGAGAGATGAAGCAAATTTGGCAAAAAATTGGTAATAAATGACTCGAGTTATTGGGAGTATGTGAATTGATTATAACAGTTTTTAAATGTGTTTAAGTATATGTAATTTTAAAATTTTTATAGCTATGCTTATGCCTTTTTAAATTTCTATTTATTAGTGGACATTTTTCATTGTTAGGCTTGCTGACGATTTGTCTATTATTAATTACTGTTTTTTAAAATTTATTATTCTTGCCTTTTTCAGACAATAGGCTTTTTTATTTTTATTTTATTGATCAGATTTTCTTTTTTTTTTTTTTGCTTTTCCTTTCACTGCTTTATGTTTTCCACTGTTCTTTGACTTTTTTTTTTTTTCTAATTGCCAGAGAGACGTATACTTGTGGGGACGGAAGGTGGAGGACGCACCCCCAGTGGGGTGAGGTCACGCTGCAATTCCTTCCCTTCCATTACTGCATCCTGTCACGATTTTCAGCACTCATGCACACTCGCCCAATATGTTTTTCAAGTTACTGGGACCAGGATTCGAACCATGGTTGACAATGTGGGTTCCAGCTCCCTTAACCTCTAGGCTATGGGGCCAGCCTTCCATCATTGCTTTTTCCTTTTATTATGTTACCCTACGGTGCTTTCCTCTCACTGTGTATTAGCCCACAGCTCTCTGGGGATCATTCTGTCTGGACCACGTCGTGAGTAGACGCTGCTGTGCCGTTCTGCTTTACATCGTCACTCTCTGATTTTTCTTTTTGACAAGAGTAATTTAGAAGTATTTTCTTTGATTAAAAAACTGGGGAGCTGGGACCAGCAGATGGCAAAATGGTTATGTCACTGACTCCCCTATAGTCAACCGCAGTTCAAGTCCCGGACCTGGCCAGTTAGAACTCACACCAGGCCATGTGTGCTCGTGCTCGGAATCCCGAGAGGAGAATGGGGGAGAAGGGATTGTGGCATGGCCATTCCTCCAGGTGCCGATTTCTTCCTTTCTGTCTCTCTATCTCTGTCTCTCCAGTGAGTGTGCACAACCTATAGTAAAAACTTCTCAAAAAAAACCAAATGGGGAGGCTGACAGGTGGTTAAGGTGCTGGACTCCCACGTGGTCAACCACAGTTTGAGTTCTGGACCTGGCAGCTTACTTTCTCTCTTTCTCTCTCTGGTCAGATTAAAAAATGATAAATAATAAATATTAATAAATAAGAATATTTTAAAGATATTTCTAGGTTGGTTGATTTTTATCTTAGCTGTCTTGTTGCCATTTTCCTCCCAAAATACTGTTCATTGTTATTTGTTATTTCCTTGTGATCTTTAAACATGGCCTGTGCGAATTCTGGGGCTTTTGGGTTTTTTTTGCAATTTGTTAGAAATATTCTCATGGTCTTATATATGACCAACTTAGAGGACTATATTTAGAACGAACGCTTGGGCTTGAAGTCACGTGTGTCTGCTAATTAAAGCTCGTGGTGTTAGTCATCTCCTGCTCTTGACTCCTTAGATACTTGATCTGGTAATTTTTGAAAGGAAATTAAAGATCACCATAATCGTGATTTTGTCAATCTGCACTTGATTTTATACATTTTCGCTTTGTATTTCAAACACTCGGAGGGTGAGTGATTTCCCTTCCCGATGGCTTGTTTTCTCACCACTGTGTGATAATACCCTACTTTTTCCCTCTCAGTGTTTTTCATTTTTCTTATTTGGTCTGTTGAAAATGTAATATACCTTCTTTCTTTTTTGTTAGCATTTATTTACCTGGTATTATTATATACTTGCATTTTTAGCTTCCATCATTTTGTTTTAGATACATAACTTATAAACACCTCTTGGCTGGTTTTTTTTATCCAATCTTTGTCTTTTCTTCAGTACACTTAAACTCTGTAGCTTAGGTCTCAGCCAACTGTTCACATTTTGAACTTCTGCTGTCTTACTTTTCCCTGCGAACCATTAATTCCCATGTGTTCCTTTTTGGTTTCTTATCACTTGTTAAACTGATTCGAAAAGTCTTGGTCCTGCTTTATTTTCCCAACTTCAGTGGTTTGGAACCCGTATGCAAACTGCACTGTAAAAGTGTTAAGTTGGAAGTGCCTACAGTACGTGCATCTGGGGATCTGACCAGACACTCAGTTGGCGATGAAAGGTTTCCAGGAACTGGTACTGAGGGTATAGGCCGTCACCTTGATAGCGGAAGCCATGGGGGCGTTTGCCGTCACCCAGGGAAATCATGGAGGACAGACAGGACTTGCCAGTACGACGCCGGGTACACCAGTGCTCCATGAATGAAGAGGAGAAAGGACTGAGTGTAGAAGCTGGGCAATCAGCGGCCCTGAGAGGGCAGGGAAAGCTGGCCCAAGAGAGGAGTGGCTTAAGGACAAAGGTGAACTTTGAGACAGTGGCACCTGCAGAGCTACAGAGAATTTCATGGAGGAGGCGGGAGGGACACAATCTTGCTGCAGAGACCAGACTGCCGGGGGGCTGCAGAGGGCGCGCCCAGCGCCCCTCAGGAAGTGACTAGCTGTCTTAGGGGCGAGTTCTGATGGTGGCAGAAATTGAGGGGTGAAGGTTAGAAGCAGAGTGAGGACAGAGAGTAAGAGCTGCCTGACTACACGACGGTGGCAGAAATTGAGGGGTGAAGATTAGAAGTAGAATGAGGACAGAGAGTAAGAGCTGCCTTTCTAGACTTGTTCAAGGGGGAGAGGGCACTGTCCATAGCTCCAGTCGCTTTGTCTCGAATGAGCAGTGGACCTCCTGAGTGTGTGCAGGGGGGTAAAAGAGGGAGAGGGCAGATCCTTCCTTTGGGCGTCTGCTTGGTCCGGTGCCTCAAAGCTGGGGCTTCTCGTCGGAGGTGCCCTCGGCTGCCCTGTGGTGATCACATCATTGCACCCTCTCCTGCAGGACGCTGAGGGTGCACCCTCTAGACGACCCCGCCACCATGCAGGTCTTTGTCCTGGTACTGGAGCGAGTGAGAACCCTCTAGACGACCCCACCACTGTACAGGTCTCTATCTTGGTTCTGGGAGTGAGTGTGCACCCTCTAGACGAGCCCGCCACTGTACAGGTCTCGATCCTGGTACTGGGAAGCTGCAGTCTTTTTTGGGAAGAACTAGACTTCATCTAGAGTCCTGAACTTCTCATCTCTTAAAGGCACTTACCTATTTACCTTCTAACAATTTAAAATTTTAGAATGTCTTCTGTGCACAAGTGAGTGGTCACTTCCTGGTGACTTGAAGCTGTGGGGGTCGGGGAGACCTCAGCCACCCCATCCTACACCGGACTGTGAGCCAAGGCAGGAATCCATGAGCTTTCTACACAGGAACCAGATAGATTCCGAGACAGCTTTTGATTCAGATGTATTTTTTGAAAGAGGGCTAATTGAGGCAGACCTGTTACTCAAATCTCATTCTTTACTGTCTAAATGCAGACACCACAGCCCAGTTCGGACGAGACCTGACTGTACTTGAGCGTCTGAATGGGCTGTCAGACTCGGAGCCGGCGTTTGGATGGCAGAGGGCTGTTCTTCCTCCCGTCCTGTTGTTGGTTGTAGGAAAGCTAGGGTAGATGTGGGTCTCCGTGGACCGTGTCTCCCGCTGATTAGAATACCTTTTTTCTTTTGTATTAGATCCGTTTCATTGGGCTTGGCTTCCACAAGCAAAAGTTCCTTTTTCTGAAGAAATAAAAAACTTGATTCTCCCATCTATTTCTGACATGAACTTCGTGCAAGATTTATGTGAAGATCTTTATGAACTCTTTAAGGTAAATAAATGTTTCATTTTGAATATTTTAAAAATAAGAGATCTTGGGACCAGCAGGTGGCATGGTGGTGAAGGGTGCTTGACTCCCACATGGCCAACCACAGTTTGAGTCCCGAACCTGGCAGCTTGCTTCCTCACTTTGTCTTTCTCTCTATTCGGATTAAAAAAATAATAACAAATGGAATTAAATTAATAATTTAAAAAAAAATTATTTTTTAAAAAAAGAGATCTTGGGAACCAGCAGTTAGCGTAATGGCTATGTCACTGGACTCCCACGTAGTCGACCGCGGTTCGTGTCCCGGACCCGGTGGCTTAAAACTCACGCCGGGCACATGTGCGTGCATGCCCAAGATCCCAAGAGGAGAATGGAGGAGAAGGGATTGCGGCGTGATCATCCCCCCGGGGGGTTATTTCTCGCTTTCTGTCTCTATGTCTCTCTCTGTCTGTCTGGCGAGCGCATGCGCCCTATAGCGAAAACCTCTCCAAAAAAAAAAGAAAAGAAAAGAAAGAAAAAAGAGATCTTAAAACAGAAGGGAGTTTCTTTTTTTTTTAGACTCCCAGACAGTGTTTTACTTGGAGACGTAATGGATCCAATTAGAATAATACTAGTTTTTCAGTCTCTGCATATACTTAAATTTTTTTGATATTTATTTTTTTTGGAGAGATTTTTTTAAGATTTATTTAATTTTTAAAAATGTACCACTATTATTTCTATTTTTAAATTTGATCACAGAGAGAGACACAGAGAGAAAAAGAACAAGAGAGAGAGAGAGAGAAAGCAAACTGCCAGGTTCAGGACTCAAACCGTGGTTAGCCCTGTGGGAGTCCAGCACCTTAACCACCATGCCACCTGCTGGCCTTCAAATACTTAAGATTTTATATGTATATAGAGTCTTCAAAAGTTTATGGAAAATGCATATTATGAAAAACCCACCCATGGATTTAAACTTTTTTGCACCAGAATAAACTTACACTCTAATTCCTACTTTATATCAACTTTTTTTTTTTTTTTTGGTTCACTAACTTTTTGAAGTCCTTTCTTTTTCCGATTTTTATAATAAGAAGGGAGTTTCCTAAGAGAAGTTCCATGCCTCTGCTGCTCCCTGTACTGCTGCTTGCGGGAGAACCTGCCTCACAGGGAGACGGCTGCTCTGCTTTACGGAGCACGCGCCTACGGAGTCACGCCTGCCTGCCCTGCCAGTTCCCTGAAGTGAGGCAGCGTTAAAGTCTGAGACATCGTTTTCTCCAAAAGCTGAATGTTTGCAAACTTGCCTTGTAAACCGTAATATGTGTTTAGTTATAATTTATCTTAAAAAGCTGAAATTCTGGGCCAGCATGTGGCATGATGGTTAGGGTACTGGACTCCCACTTGGCCAACCACTGTTCGAGTCCCAGACCTGGCTACTCGCTTACTCATTTTCTCTTTCTCTCTCTCGCTGTCTCTTATCATATTAAATAATAATGATAAATAAGATAAAATAATTCTTAAAAAAAAAAAAAAGCCTAAATTCTTCAGCCAGAAAATCACTTTAACTCTTTTTTGGAACAAACTGTGGTATAAAGAAGATAATTCTTGTCATTCTGGGTGAGTACAAACACGATCAGGTAAATATGCTCTTTCTGTACTATTTTATACGTCAGGGAAGCTTTCTCCTGTCCTTACTGCTCTGTCAAGGAGTTCAGTTAGATTTGGAATATTTCCTTCAACGATCTAGACTTGGGGAATGACAATAACTCCTTCCTTTCTGTGACAGACGGACAAGGGGTTTGACAGAGCCACTTTCGAGAGTCAGATGTCTGTGATGCGGGGTCAGGTAGGTCACTTCTTTCATGAGCTCATCCTTTGAAACAGTGGCCAGCCCTTTCCTCCACTTGTCTCCAAGAGACCCAGAGAGGGGGCTCTTCATTCTGAGCCAAAACAGTTTACGTGATTAGAAATGAAGTTAGCATAATGGCTGTGTCACTGGACTCCCATGTAGTCGGCTGCGGTTCGAGTCCCGGACCCAGTGGTTTAAACTCACGCCAGGCGCATGTGCATGCATGCCCAAGATCCCGAGAGGAGAATGGAGGAGAAGGGATTGCTACGTGGCCATCCCCCCTGGGGGTGATTTCTCACTTTCTGTCTCTCTGTCTCTCTCTCTCTGTCTGGTGAGCGCAAAAAGACCAAAAAAAAAAAAAAAAGGGGGGGGGGGTTGGTGATACGAAGCTTTGTGGTGTGTTTTAAACGGGTGAACGTCTCTCATTGCCGCAGATCTTAAACCTGACGCAGGCTCTGAGGGACGGGAAGAGCCCCGTGCAGCTGGTGCAGATGCCCTGTGTGATCGTGGAGCGCAGTCAGGGCGGAGGCCAGGGCCGGATCGTGCACCTGGCCAACTCCTTCACCCAGACGGTGCACTGCAGGAAGCCGTTCTTCTCCTCCTGGTAGCAGGTGGAGGGGCGGGCGCCGCCCTACTGTGTGCGGGGACATCGCAGGACGGAGGCCTGCCATCAGAGCCCGGTCGCCACACCTCACATAGTTCATGTCCTGCGAAGGTGATATTTTGAATGTAGTCCGAAGTTTACAGGGTTTTTTGGTCCAAATATTAAAATTTCTATTTCAGGGAAGAACGAATATATCTCCTAAATGGTATTTTTGTAAAAAAAAGTGTGTTTTATGTGGTCGTTGGTTTGAAAGGTAATTTCATGGTTTACACGTGCTGGAATGACTGTAATTACTCTGGAATTCCAGGTGGAAAAATAAGGTGTTTGTTGACTTCGTCTGCAGTAACTTTCTATGTCCTCTTTAAACATTGAGAAGAATGTTTATGTAAACTCTTCTTACCTTACAAACGGCCTTCGAGAGTGCCTAAGTCTGAAATGTTCTTCTGGACTTTACTGGAGTAGTTAATAGAAAAACAGGTAAAATAAAGCAATGTTGCCTTAATTTTAAAAGCTGCTGTTTTAGAACTTGAATAAGTACCTCTATTAGGGACCACAAAATTCTATCTTGGTTAAGTAACAATTGACCCATTTCTTTTCTGTGCCATAGAATATTTTTGGTGAATTATTTTGTTGTAGTGGGGAAAAAAAATCTAAAGACACTCACCCTTTAAGAAAAACTGGGGGGAACTCAACCGAGACTTGAGGGGAATAATATGAAATTAAGATAAAGTCCCCCAGTATTTCAAAATTCCACGAGTATTAAAAATTCCCTTTTGGTTCTTCCGTGGGATCAAGTAGTTGATCAGTTAGTAAGTACTTCAGGGTACTGGTCTTGTTTAATTTAGTATGTCAGTTAGTATTAAAGTTAACAGCAGAATCATTTATCTTTGATTTTGAAGTTTATTTTTTTACTGTGTTTTGAATATCACTGCGGCTGACGTTGGAATTTGCAGCTCCGACTCACCAGGGGACGTCAGGGTGCGAGGCCGGTGTGCAGGCGTCATTGCAGGGCAGGGAAGGTTGGCGCTGTGCTGCTCCGCGGGCCTCCTCAACACAGGCCAGCTGGGGCGGCTTGTGCCCTCGGCCTTTGGTTCTTTACGCTTACTGTCTCGTGGGTTTTCGTTTTCATTTTTTGTTTTTTAAGCATTTCTGTTGAAAGTATTTCCTGAAGGTTGATTAGGGTGTCAGACCTACAGGTCTCTCCCTGCACCTTTCTGGGGCCTTCACGGAGGGAGGAGTGAGAAGGTGGCTGCCCCGGGGAGCGGTGGGAGCCCGTGATCCTGCCTCCCTGGGCCCTGAATCAGCTCAGTTTTGATATAATGGAAAATGGACTGGAAATTTCAAATCGAACTTTGTCTTTAGGTAGATACTCGTCATTAACATGTGCCTTTTGGGAATGTGTTATCAGAAAAGGAACTAAGTGGTTGCTGGGTGGGTACTGGTTTTCTAAAACAGTTTTTTCAGCACTTCGAGGATTGCCATATTAATTTTTATAATGGAAAACAATAGATTTGCTGCTGTTTTGTATCTTAGAATTAAAATAGTATGAACCCGTTCTCAAAGAATCAGACCATGCCGGAAAAGTAGAAATACTCAAGATAGAATTACAGGTCAGAGTACGTTGGTTGGATTTTGTAAACGTTCATAAACTTCATTCCTATTTAAGTATTGTGCTTTTTTTCCCCCCATGAGTATATTTATAGTATCAAACATGGTAATAAAATCTTTGACTTAAGGTTCAATTTCTCCTGTCTGTGTGTATGTGGAATAGAATGTTTGTGAATACATTTGCATTTATAAATGATGCCAGACTACCATTTTCTTACTTCATGTATTAGTAGTACAGTTTAATTCTTTATCATTCCAAACGATGTATGTTAACTGGAACTTTTATAATTGGGGACATTTAATTTCATTCAATGATAAGCTGCCTTATTATCCCACAAATCTGTCAAGAATTGAAGACTTTGTGAAGACATGGTTTTTGGCAGACTTGAAAATAATTTGATTCACAACTGTTTTTTAAATTTAAAAATACTGTGCTAAATAAAATAACAAAGTATTTAAAAACAGTGGTGGCATGTTTCTTGAGCAGATTGCATCCGGAATACCTAGGCAGCATCGTAGGCTTTATCTTGCCTTCCTGCACCAGGTGGCTTGGGAACCTTACGGAGCAGGGCAGAGTCTTGGCACTTGGGCATGTCTGAACTGTCTCGCAGTTCGTCTGGGGCCATGCGACTGGGTTCTGGCCAGTGACGGATAGCGACAAGCGACAAATGCAGCTTTGGGCCGGGCGGTAAAACTCAGTGCATGATTGTCCAGTGTCTCGTCTTCTCATTTGAGTCAGAATTTGCAGAATGGGAGCAGCCAGGGTGTGCGAGTCCCTGCTGGGAGAAGGTGATCGGGAGACGCCTCCGACATGAGGGGGAGGAGTGCTTGTGCGAGTCACTGCGTGTTTGAATGGAGCTGTCCCTGACATCAGTGTGTGAAGAGTGACATAGCAATAAATACCATTCCTAAGTTAGAAATCCACAGCCAGGTATTAGGGGGCGGGCCAGCAGATGGCGTAGTGGTTAAGGCACTAGACT